GTTGCATTTAAGCCTGGTTTCCATATAATCGAATCGCAACGATCATATGGAAACCTATGATCGCAACAGTCTCAATGATCGCAAAAGTGGTTTCCATAATTTTATGATCGCAACGATCGTAGCCGGGATATAATGTTTTCTATCTCTGCGATCGAGAACGCAAGGATGGCAAAGAGATCGCAACATTTTATGGTTTCAATATGATCGCAACGATTGCTGCGACTGCGATCATATGGAAACCAGGCTTTAGTTAGCTTGTAATTCGACTTATTAGTTATACAATAGTACGAGCAAGTGGGATCAATGAGCAACCAAGTATGAACTGCACCTTGCAATTGTGGGCTCGTGGCAACGCACAAGAAAAAATTAACTCAGTGAGTTCCTGCAATACAATTTGCCAGACCCATTACAACACAAATTTTTCATGAGCCGAACTGAATTCGAATTTGGTCGACCGAAATTAAGAAAATCCCGCCTCTTGATTCAGACGCCGAACTTTCCATGTATTCAAGTTATTATTTATAAGTTCTCTGAAAATTTGAGCCAAAATTTCACGACTTTGTGATACTAAACTCCTTTCTCAACAGATTAACATGAGTTGGGAATCATTTCTTAAATGTCAATCTGCTCCGTGATAAAGTGGCTATTTTTCTTAGGGTTAAAGAAAAAAGTCGTTCCGTGTTTTAGGATTCCGGGTCTCATTTCCGGTATTCCGAGATTCCGGCATTCCTAGATTCCGGAATTCCGGCATTTCGGATTTCCGTAACTCCGGGTTTTAGGACAACCCGGAATGAAATGACTGGCGGCTCGGCCAGTCCAAGGTTCCTTTTATAGTGCAGGTCCCTGTTTAAGAGAAATTACATCTGTTCATCACTTCCTGTTATTTTCTTAGAATTGATCACAAAGACAGTAATTTGGCGTAAGGTGAAGATGGTTATCTCTGGACCTTGTATAGCCCTTCGATTCCAATTGGTTGAGCACTTCATAAGGAGACTCCTGGGTCCACAATGTGCTGTAAGGAGAGGATGCATCGCTAACACGGTTTCCCGACATACATGATTCATATACATAATACTTTATTTATACTCGAACAAATGAGGCTTATTAGGCCTCTAGCTAATCGCTAATGAGTCGAGTGACATTAATTACATGTCTTGCATCCCTCGTCTTGCAGATTATATGTTCAAGGTCGGTTTGTACATGCCTTAGCCTGCGAAGCGCAGACGTATTTCCGGCTCGAGTTTCCCCGCCGAGCCGGAAATACGTCTGCGCTTGCAGGCTACACATGCCTAGAATCCTGATAGAAATCATGTGGGTTGAATGTACTACGTACCAATATATACGGCATGGCGTCTTTATATTAACACTCGTATTCTTCTTTATATAATCCTGTTGAGACTTTATATAATATGATGGCGATTCCCTTGCGTCGTTTATAACACAACTACCCCGGGGGGGGGGGGGGGGGGGTACTCAAAAAGTTTATACGGGAGGCTCTGCCCAGAGATCCAACCCCTTACCATTCATATACCATTTTTTCACAGAAAAGGTACCCCTTTCATATACCTTCCATAGAAAATGGTACCCCTTTCATATACCTTCCATAGAAATTATGAAAATGGTACCCCTTTCCCTACAGTAGAAGCACTGCATCCCTTTTCTATACCCTTGTAATGAACTTAATGAACAATATATATCACCAGAAATCATCAAGCATTACCAGTAGAGATGTTAACCAAACAATAATATCATTTACTCATGAAATCCCTACCCTTTCACATACCTCGAGCCTAAAAAAGGACCCCTTTCGGGCGGAGCCTCCCCGTATAGTCCATTATAGGGAGTACCCCGACCAAAGTGTAATGTAATGTTTGAAATGAGCGGTGAACCAAAAAATTGGAAAATGTGGCTCTAGGACAGTCAATAAACAACACATGTGGACAATATTTGATATGGTATTATAAACTTTAATCGTTGCCTATAGCGATAAAGCTCCATACAAATCATTGTACATATATTCGGGAGCATATCACCCTGATATATTTGGGTTTCCTGCGCTACGACAACAAAATATCAGTCTCTATTCTCACTGAAACCTTGCCTTCATTAAAGGGTTCATCTTATAATCGACGATTATTTGGCATGACTTCGGCAAGATTTTAAGAGAATGTATGGAGATATGGATATCTGGCAAACCGGATGAAAGTGATCACCTCTGGAAGTAAGTAAACCTGTATTTGTGTGTCCATTTTTTAGTGAGATGAGTAGATTCCACAGTTGCCTAACTCATTTCGAATCGTGAACTGATGAGCTGCAAGCTCATAATTATTATATTTTAAAAACAATTCATATCTTTCATACATTTTCTTATACGATTTTGCCGCCATTGTGTCCTTATTGCGCTTGCGCGGCGCCATTTTGACCCAAATTTCTGGGTATGAGAAGATAATAAAGGAACATAAACACTCCCAAAATGTGAATAAGTTTATTTGAGTCTTTTATTCTACTATCTAGTTCTCAAAATATTTCATAACAGTCGTTGAGCCAGTCTTTTTCAATATCGATTTTCAAACCATCAAAATGGTAGCATGGAAAACTTGTACGAATAGATTTCTCAGTTGTTTGTAGTTTCATACGTTTGCTGCATTTTATGATCCGGATCGCAGTGTCCAGATGGTGGTGTCTTTAACGGTGTTTACTGCAACAACTCTGTAGCCGGCCTGGTCCAATCTGTCGAGCACTTCATAAGGAGGCACCTGGGTCCAGTACGTGTTGTAATCAGAGGATGCATTGGTAACACGGTTTGCCGACAAGGCTTGCATTGCAGTTAGCATTTCGACTATCAAGGGGGGTTTGCACTACCATGCTATCTTCAGAGCCTTCAAACATTTGCACATGAGAAGCCTGATGATAGAAATCAATGTACGTACGTGTCTGCGGATATGGCTGTTCTAGCGCTGGGTTGAAAGTGCTTCGTACCAACACATAAGGCATGGCGTCTTCGTTTATATAATACACACTCGTATTCTTCTTTATAGAATCCTGTTGAGACTTATGATGGCGATTCCCTTGCGTCGTTTACAACACTAAAGATTAACCCGGTTACTACTTTATGTAAGACTACATATTCGTCCCCAGACCCTGCGCGTTATCTGAATTATTCTCTGGATTCACGATATTAAATAATGAGATCACGGATCGCAAAGGTCAGGTTGAAATGCAAAAGTTTTAATTTTGAATCGACGTATAATGAGCCTCACCTCCCTGTGCTACACTATTTAACAATTAGACGGCAAGCTCGAGGTTTCTATATTTAAACAATAGCCTCCATTTGGCGAGGAAATATTATCTGTTTCCGAGAAGCGAACAGTTTTCCGAGAGCGAAGCTCGAGGAAAACTGCGAGCTTCGAGGAACTGATAATGTCCAAGGACAAATATCCGAACATATTTTGAAGCCAAATGGAGGCTATTGTAGTTATTATCCTTCAAATATTTTTTCACAAGGCCGCTCCTGTTTGCCGTGGAAGATCTCGGTCGGCTAAGCTGTTTAAACATCAAAATAATTCTGTTGGCGTTCAAAAATATTTCTAGTCTGTTCAAAACAATCAGTTTTATTTAATTTAGCAATTTATTTGAGACGAAAACTGAACCTGCGAACGTGAAACGCAAATTTTCAAAACTGGGGAATATCACTTGAGGAATATCACCCGGATATTCCCCGATTTTGGCTGGCGTCACGTAACGTGTTTAGACCAATCGCGCGCGAGAAAAAATTTTGATGGATTATAAAGTCTGTTATTCTACTATCTGGTTCTCAAAATATTTCACCACAGTGGTTGAATGTATCTCATCAGTACTTTCACTCAGTGGAGAAGAACTGAAACTTGTAAGAACTTTCTCAGTTGTTGTAGTTTCTCAATTCTCAATGAAAAGATTATATCAAGCCAGTCATATTACCAAGACCCACGCTTTTTCATATGATCAGCAGAAAGCAGTGACCACTTGAGAACTATCCTCTGTTTGAAATTTAACCTATGGAACGCACTCTCTTAATCTGTGATTACTACTAGTTGTAGTTTCATAAATTGGCTGCATTTTATCTTAAGCTTCACTTCTGATCTGACTTGTGCAGTGTCCACATGGAGGTCTCTTTAACAGTATTTACTGCAACAACCGTGTAGCCCTGCCCTTCTAATCTGTTGAGCACTGCATAGGGAGGCTCCTGTGTCCAGTACGTGCGGTAAGGAGAGGATTCATCGCTAACAAGGTTTGCCAACATGCCTTCCATTACACCGCTGTTGGCGTGACGATATCGCAGAGGTTTCTTCGAACATGCATCCAGGTTCTGATGTCTCTGATAGAAATCAAGGTACGTACGTGTATGAAATGGCTGTTCTGGGTTTAGTACGTTCATGGTGTTGCGTACCAAAATATACGGCATGGCGCCTCTGTTTCCGAGAGCGTAGCGTTGCGTGACACAGAGAGGGCCAGAACTGGACTAGGCGCCTATATAAGCTCACACTCGTATTCTGCTTTATAGAACGGTTCCACTTACGACGGCGTTCTCAGAATTGTAGTCCCTTTCCCAATTACATCATCGCTCCCTATTTTGTCTTAGAATATTAGCCCTTTTCGCGGTTAACCTGTCATATTTGCATAACAATACAGTTAAACATTGATGAAGCGAGGCAATTTCGGGTACAAGCTGTAAAACAAAGTTTCAATCCTCGGATGAATTGTGGTGGAATAATGAGCAAACGAAGACCTCTGCCGAAGAAGGTAAAAGGTAAAGCCGCACTCGGTCCAAACTGGCCCACACTGCCGGAGCTTATCCCGGTTTCCGTAGCATGAAGCCGACTAGGAGTATTGCTACTCCCCTGGATGGGATACTAGTCAATCGCAGGTTACCCCCCAGCATTTTGTCGCCGGTACCCATTTATACTCCTGGGTGGAGAGAGGCACTGTGAGAGTAAAGTGTCTTACCCAAGAACACAACACAATGACCCAGGCCAGGGCTCGAACCCAGACCGCAGGACTCCGGAGTCCAACGCGCTAACCATTAGGCCACCGCGTCTTCCTCTGCCGGAGAAGAAGAGTGGAAACTGGTGACTGTACATGATGCGAACCTTGAACCTTGTGCATAACGAACGGCTCCCTGGTGACGCCGAGGTTCTTCGTTGGCTCATTATTCCACCACAATTTCATCCGCGAATTAAAACTGGAAGTAATTAATTCACGCAAGGACCTTCAATGCCCGTTCCTTCGTCAGGAATGAGGTTGGCGGGACTTTTTGATACGAAACCTGGAACGAAGCTCTTCACTCGTGTTTTGAAAACGTAGTAGTTTCACAACAGTAGTTGAGCCATTCTTTGTCAACCATAAAAATGGTAGACTAGTATATATATTTGAGCAGTACTTTCATCGATGGAGAAGAAAAACTTGTGAGAACTTTCCAGCACTTGTTGTAGTATCATAAATTGGCTGCAGTTTTATCGTTGCTTTAAGCTGGCTTGTGCATCGTCCAAATACAAGTATCTCGAACAGTGTTTACTGCAACAACTTTATATCCATGGGTTTCCAACAAGTTAAGCTGTACAAAAGGTGGCTGATGGACCCGGAACGAGCAGAAATTCAAAGAGCGTCCATTTGTATCACGGTCAACACGTTTTGCCGTCAACTGGTTTTCTATCGCATCCGTAAGGGTGGTGTCTGTATCGAGAGGACACTCAATGTACGTGAGTGTACCTGTAAATATATGTTGAGGCCGATGTGGGTTTATGGTGTTGCGTACCAAGATATACGGCATGATGCCTTGAAATACACTTGAATTATAAACTCCGCAGTATACAAGTTATCAAGAATGAGCCTCTTTATGGCCAAGTCTAGGGCACTTATAAACTCTGTAAGGGAAATTCCCTGTTGCAGTGAAGAACGCCCTACCGTTGCCACTCGACAAAGTTTTTGATTAATTTTTGACAACTTGCTGATGGCTTTCTTCGTTTCAACTGGCCAATCAAAATGCAAGAATTATGAGAGGCGGAGATGTCAAACTCCACATTCGCGTTCCTGACAATTGACATCTCCACCTCCCACAGTTCGTGCAATTTGATTTGCTAGTTTAAATGGAAGCTCCGAAAGTTTTCAAAAAGATGTCAAAAAATGTCAAAAATTAATCAAAAAGTTTGTCGAGCGGGTAATAAACGGTAGGGCGCTTTTTACTGTAAATCAGCTCCCACGTTTTCATGAGAATTCATGTAAGCGGGTTCCACCTGTGGTTACCGGTGGAGTATTACCATAATAAACCTCAAAGCCTTCCACAAACTGCGTCTTATCGGCTTCACACATCAAGCTCACACTGTGAGTCAGCTGTTATGCCGTATTGCGTCAGCCGGTAATGGCTAAAAATATAATATAAGGGTTTGTATGGGATTTTACAAATAGATTAAGAGATAGGAATACGGTAAAGATTTCAATAAAATCGCCTTACCTCACTTGATGGTGCTTTACTTGCTGTATGTGTTCTTGTTGTGCTGAGAGAAGTAAAATACCTTACCGAAACACTTTATCTTCGGAAGTTAATTCGGATGCCGGAAGACTAAATTCCACTTCAACAGCCGCAGGAGCCTGGGCTCCTAAAAGCCGCCATTACTCACGCTCTGTTGACTTAACCAGAACAGGAACTACGCTTCCATAACGCCCCTCTCTGTCCCTTATTTTCATGGACCTCACGCATCTTGTGGTAGCGAGAAGGAAAAGCCTTGGATAACTGACGAATGCATTAATTTTCACGTGCACTGAAAGGTGAACTATATAAAAATAAAAAATCCGGCTGAAATGCGGCTTAAAGGTTCTTGGATAGTCGGAATATGTAAAACTGTTTATTGTCATTAAAGCTGTTTATTATTATTTTTCGTTCGCTGCCTTTTACATGCATAATTTTGCAACCGATTAGCATGGATTAGTCATATCACTAAAATCGGAAGCTTATCATCGATGAGCTTGTGCTAAAATACAGAGTAATGCATCATTTAAAGTCTCTATTCTAGAATATAATAAAGTAAGAGTCTTATGAGTGAGAGTCTGTTATTCTACTATCGGGCTCTCAAAATATTTCACGCAACAGTGGTTGAGCCATTCTTTTCAATGTCGATTGATAAAAAAAAGCCACAAAATGAAGTTTGATGAACTTGTAATAATATTCTCAGTTGTTGTCGTATCGTACGTTTGCCTGCATTTTATCTTCGCTTTAAGCTCATGACGTGTACCGCAGTGTCCAGATGGTGGTCTCTTTAACAGTGTTTACTGCAACAATCGTGTAGCCCTGCATTTCCAAATCGCCGAGAACTGCATATGGAGGATCCTTTCTACTGGCCGTGCGGTGAGGAGATGAAGAGTATTTCTCGCCAACAAGGTTTACGACCCCCCAAAGGCTTGCACTAGGTTGGGTAGCCCAGGATCATTCCTATCCCAAGAAACCTGATAGAAATCAATGTACGTACATGTCTGCAGAAATGGCTGTTCCAGCCCCGGGTCGAAAGTGTTTCGTACCAACACATACGGCATGGTGCCTATACACACTCGTATTTTTCTTTATAGAATCCTGTTGAGATTCGCTCTAGATAATTGCGTCGTTAACACAGCACAGACTACTGTCAATTTAAGGCAAATTCTCTGGTTGCATCTATAAGCATGAACGCGTCACATAAAAATATGACCTAATTTGGCATCAAACATGACATGTTTAGCCGCCGAACATTTGAAGTTTGACGACGCGTTTCGGTTTGATACCAAATTAGGTCATGTTTTTATGTGACGCCCTCATGCTTGGATGCACACATCAACTTCCTTTTTTTCTAAGAATTACCTAAACTACTTCCTGTTTTTCTGAGAATTGTTTTTCCCTTTCATCTCGTGCGCTTTATAATTAGCGGTTCACATACAGCTGTTTCGAGAAACGTCGGAAAAAAGCGCACGCGACTATCCCGAAAGGTAATCTGGGATATGATCAGCAAGGTACGTTCCTGACACTCACTGCACGAAAAGTTGGATTTGTCTCATCTTTGATTCGCGTCAAAGGTGAGTCAAAGATGGACGACTATCTTTGCCACAGTGGTCAAAGGTAAACAACACCTTTGACATCGCCTTTGACAGGCTTTGACGCGCGTCAAAGTTAGTAACAACTTTGCCCGCAGTAAAAAGTACCTTTGACCCAGTCAAAGTCAAATTTTGCAATACATTTGTTCCACCTTTGACTAAGGTCAAAGGCGTACCATCTTTGACCAAATTCAAAGACGGCCTTTGCCCATCTGTGACCTGCGTCAAAGGTATGGCAAAGACGGCCTTTGTCACCTGTGACCCTAGTCAAATGTGTAGGTCAAGTAGCTGTCGAACCTACTTTTGTTGCTTTCTTTTAGCACTCGCAAACATACGTCCATGGCGTCTCGTGCCATTTTCTCAGATTTCCTGAAATGCTGGAAATCAAGGAACCGTGAACTTATAAATTCCCCATAATATCTTCGGATTGTCGCGAGCCCTTTCTCGAAGAAAACAGCTGTATATGGAATACAGTTGAACTAGTCCCCGTTAAGCGGACACCCCTTATCTTCGAAGATATTAGCATAATTTTTTTGCTTATCCGGTAATTCGAAGTAAAAATAAAGGTTTTTCTTACTTACTTACCCTTGGGATAAAACAAAGAGATCGATTATATCAGCTCCTTCGTTTCACGATAGACTATTTAAATAAGAGATTAATACGTCAGGTTGAAATGCTACTATAATATTTTGAATAGCCCTACTCGGCTCCCCCGGGTAGCGGTTTCACGAAACATTAGAAAGAATAGGGAGATTAAAATAAAGGCCATGTTACACGAGGCAATCAGTTCCTTGCAACTTGTGTCAACGCAACAAACGTTGGCATTGCCAGGCTGCCCAAAAAAATTTCACGTGTAACACCCATTTTTGTCAACCTGCAATGCAAACAAAATGTTGCACGTTGCCGAGTTGCAAGGAAAGTAGTAACTTATCCTCTACTTTTCGCACACTGCTAGCTGCGTTGTGACAAGTCAATCGCAACTTTGTACGCGGAGCCAATCAGAGCGCGTCCTTCGCTCGCGGGAGATTTCAAGATGGCGGCCGGAGTAAGGGCGCGTTTGCAAGTTGCCGAAAAATCCGTTTGCGAACGTGTGACAACCTCCCTCTACGACAACTTGCAATGTTTGTTTTTCAGTCGTCATCGTTGCGGTGGGCAAGTTGCAAGTGAAAATGGCCCTTGCCAGTTGATTCTCTTACTTTTCCCGCGATCGTTTAAATAACCGGCATCAGAAAAAATCGAAAATAATTTACACGTTCAACGATAAACAGTTGAAAACTACTCACTTTGACGTAGA